AACAAGAACAATTGCCAACAGATGACATCAAGCACTTGAAGAATGAATGACCTTACCTGTAACTCAATTATNTAAAAAAAAGAACAATTGCCAACAGATGACATCAAGCACTTGAAGAATGAATGACCTTACCTGTAACTCAATTATCAAAATTGACGATCTCTGATCCACCATTGAAAGGCTTCACAAAATCTTTTGTAGCAGAAGAAGGAAAAGATTGTAAAGAATGTTGGTTTGATCCTCGTGTTAAGAAACTCTTTGAAAATGTAGGTTATGTTAAAGGTGAACCACACCAACTTGGGAAACTCGATCTAGTCTTTTCAAGAGAGAAAACTAATGAGTCGATGATACCACAAAAGGTTGCTAAAGGAGAGACCTCTATACAACATAAATTCGGGATAGGATATTATCCCACTCCAATCTCAATTAAGCTAAAGAAGGCTTCATCAAATCCTATCATGATACAAATATTCGAGTGTAAAGATGAAGAAATCATACAATCTCATACTTTTATTTTTTATCGACTTGGTAATTAAGATACTCAAGGCACAGTGTTTGATCGATTGAGCGGGGATAAGGATGAAGTGATCATACAATCTCATGCTTCTATTTTTGATCGACTTAGTAAACAAGATACTCGAGGCACAGTGTTTGATTGATTGGACGGGAAAACTTTTCCTCTGAAATCTTCACAAAAAGTTTCGGTATTCACTCGTCTGCGACAGTTTGTTGACCAAAATGTACCAAACTTTTTCAAGCAAGACAAGAAACAACGGAGACGAAGCAGACATCATATGCCAAAGCTTGCAATTGTAGCTGAGGAAGTCACTATTAATCTCAAGAATCCTATAGCTACCCAAGACTTGTTTACAAGAAATAAAAAAAGATAAAAAATGGTGCATACCAAAAGTATCGAAGAAGAATCCATCTCAATGAACTGTGTCACCATTGAGCAAACAACAGTGGAAGAATTTGACATTGAAGAATTATCCTCAACAGATGAATTCAACCATTGATCCTTTATGTTGCTGCCCAAGAACAGTCATTAGGAGCACTCTTAGCACAAGTTAATGACGAGGGGAATGAAAANAATTTTGATCACCTGTGAAGGATGGGGGCAAGATATGATGCCTATCAGAATGCTTTTGAAAATATAAAACAATATCTCATTCATCCCCCAGTCCTCGTAGCACCAATTCAAAGAGAACCATTGATCCTTTATGTTGCTGCCCAAGAACAGTCATTAGGAGCACTCTTAGCACAAGTTAATGACGAGGGGAATGAAAACGTATTATACTATCTAAGTCGGACATTAGTAGGTGCAGAACTAAACTACTCACCTATTAAAAAGATGTGTCTTGCATTAATCTTCGCTACAAAGAAGTTGAGGCATTATGTGCTGACTCATGTTGTTCATCTCATTTCAAAATCTGATCCTGTCAAGTACATAATGTCAAGAACAGTTATCTCAGGAAGGTTGGCAAAGTGGGCACTTTCTATTGTCTGAATATGACATAGTNTAGAACTAAATTACTCACCTATTAAAAAGATGTGTCTTGCATTAATCTTCGCTACAAAGAAGTTGAGGCATTATGTGCTGACTCATGTTGTTCATCTCATTTCAAAATCTGATCCTGTCAAGTACATAATGTCAAGAACAGTTATCTCAGGAAGGTTGGCAAAGTGGGCACTTTCTATTGTCTGAATATGACATAGTTTATGTTCTATAAAGAGCAGTCAAAGGACAAGCATTAGCTGATTTTCTTGCAAATCACCCGATCCCTACAGACTGGGAGCTACTAGAAGAATTATCAGATGAAGAAGTTTTCTTCACTGACTTCATACTGTCTTGGAAGTTATACTTTGATGGTGCTGCTCGAAGGTATGGAGCTGCTGCAGGTGTGGTCTTTATTACCCCTGAAGACGAAGTATTGCTTTACGCAATTACCTTGACACAGTCTTACTTTAATAACATGGCAGAGTATCAAGCTTTGATCATTGGCTTAGAAATGGCACTTGATATGCAGCTCTCTCAGTTGGAAATCTATGGAGACTCGCAGCTGGTGGTTCATCAAGTTTTGGAGTTGTATGATGTTTGCAAACTAGATTTGATTCCATACTGTCACTATGCAACTCAACTTATGAGTCATTTTGATCGAGTCACCGTTAAAAATGTACCACGCGGTGAAAACAGATATGTTGATGCTCTTGTCAATCTTGTCGTCGTGCTTACAAAACTCTATTACCAAATAATTTTAGTTCCAGTTTGTCAAAGATGGGTAATACCTCCGTTACTCCCTAAAATGGAGGAAGTTACTACCATTTCAGTAGTGCAAGTTGAAAATGAAGATTGGAGGCAACCTTTGATTGATTATTTGCAGTATGAAAAATTACCAAATGACCTACATCATAGAACCGAGATACGATGAAGAGCTCCTCGATTTATTTATTATAAAGGCATCCTCTATCGTCATTCATTTGATGGTATTTTTCTGCGATGTTTGGATGAAGATGAAGCTGCTCAAGCACTCGAAGAAGCTCATTCTGGAATCTGTGGTGCTCATCAATCAGGGCCTAAATTACATTTTTGCATAAAGAGAATGGGGTATTACTGGCCCACTATGGTACAAGACTCGATGAGTTACGCTAAGAAATGTCAAGCTTGTCAGTTCCATGCCAACTTCATTCACCAGCCACCTGAACCATTGCATCCTACAATCTCATCATGGCCTTTTAATGCATGGGGACTTGATGTCGTAGGACCTTTGACTCCAAAATCGTCAGCAGGACATCTTTACATCTTAGCAGTAACCGATTATTTCTCCAAGTGGGCAGAAACAGCTCCTTTTAAAGAAGTGAAAAAAGAAAACATTGTCAACTTTATTCGAACAAATATTATATATCGGTATGGTGTACCTCGTTACATTATCACTAATAATGAAAAACTATTTGTCAATAGCCTCATGGTCAAGCTCTGCATCAAATTTGGATTTGTATAACATAATTTATCTATGTACAACGCACTAGCCAATGGACTCGTAGAAGCCTTTAATAAAACCTTGTGCAACTTGTTGAAGAAAATTGTCTCCAAATCAAAGAAGAATTGGCATGAAAGGGTTGGTGAAGCACTCTGGGCATATCGAACAACATACCGAACTCCGACACAAGCTACTCCATATTCCCTTGTGTATGGCGTTGAAGCTGTTCTTCCTTTGGAACGTCAAATTCCCTCCCGCGGATCGCCCTACAAGAAGAACTCACAAATGAAGAAAATGTTCATTTACGTCTAAATGAGCTTGAAGCACTTGACGAGAAGAGACTAGATGCACAACAAAACCTGGAATGTTATCAAGCCAGACTTTTCAAAGCCTTCAATAAGAGGGTTCGTGTCCGATCATTCCAAATAGGAGATTTGGTCCTTGCAATTCGAAGACCCATCGTCATTCCGCATCACACCGGTGGAAAATTCATGCCAAAATGGGATGGTCCATATGTTATAAAAGAAGTCTACACCAACGGCGCATACAAGATTGTTGACAAAGATGGCTTGAGGGTTGGCCTATTCAATGGGAAATTCTTAAAGCGCTTCTACGCCTGAAAATAAGCAACACTCCTTTACGCACGAGTTTAAATTGCATGTTACTCCTGGCGCGCATGAGTTAAAATTGTGCACAACACCAACCTAAAAAAAAAAAAACTTGTTGCTCCTGGCCCGCACGAGCTGTAGCTGTGTACAACTTAACCAAAAATAAAGGTACATGCGCTCCTTTACGCACGAGTCTAAACTGCATGTTACTTCTGGCCCGTAAGAGTTAAAACTGTGTACGATTTAAAAAAAAAAAAAAATCTTTTTTACTCCTGGCTCACATGAGTTAAAACTGTGTACGGTTTAACAAAAAAAAAATTTACTCCCGGCTCGTATAAGTTAAAACTATGTATGAATCAAAAAAAAAAAACATTGCTTCGAAATTATGTTTAAACTTAAACTTTTACTTTGAGATATCTAAATCAATCTTTTTCCTTCAAAATAAATCTTTTTTTAGTACAATAAATAATAACATAAAAAAAAATTCAAATCTAAACATCCATATTTGCTATATATATATATATATAAATAATTACAATTGAGGAGTTATGAGATCATAAAAAATTTTCAACCCAGTCGATCAAGGCTAGTGAAACAAATTCCTTCTCTAACATGGATCGCATCTTATCTATATCATGTATCTCCTCAACGTTGCGAATATGAGACTCCTGGAGTTCGACACGTTCTTTCTCCATCACCACAATAGTCTCTTTAGTGTTCTGTTGTTCATCACGAATGAAATCAATGCTAGATGCTACCTCGGCCCTCTGATCTTGCAGTTGCCAGATTTCATCATCAAGACTCAATAGCTCTGCTTCAGATTTCAATAGTTATTCACTCAAGCCAAGAACTTTGAATTGTCCTCCCGATATCGTGTTATCAATTGTTGCCAACCTTCTATCTCTATCTCCAGAGGTTAAAACTTTGACGCTTTCTTGGCGTTTTGAAAGGTATTTATCTACTTTCATAAGAAGACAACCCATTTTTCTCACCAAAGGATTTGTGTCAACATAGAAAATTTTTTTAAGAGTATCTTCAATACTTGAAGACTTAGAGGTCTACCAAGTTTTCAATCTAGAGAAGTCATTTTTCATGGCATAATCACCCTTCAAATAAGGGGGCATCCCGGTAAGAATTATTTTCTTTGCCAATCTTTCAGAAGTAATTGCTTCAACAAGAGGACCTGACAAAAATAAAGATATGCGATTAGTTGCATACTAATCGAAAGGGCAACTAGATCAAGCTGATAAAATATACATGAGACAAATGAAAGCATCGGCATTAGTCTTGGAGATCATGCTTCACCAGGTCCATATAGCTCAAGAAGAGTATTCATAACATAATTATTAATAGCTTCTTGTCCTGCTTGAATAGCACATGAAGGGTTTGTTTTAGAATNCATTAGTCTTGGAGATCATGCTTCACCAGGTCCATATAGCTCAAGAAGAGTACTCATAACATAATTATTAATAGCTTCTTGTCCTGCTTGAATAGCACATGAAGGGTTTGTTTTAGAATTAACTTCCCATTCACATAGATTGGTATGTTCTCCATAAACCAAAGGAAGAATCTCACCACTGCCGGAAAGAATGGACATGGTCCGATCGTTGTCATCAAATAAAGCTCCAATGATATCATTATCAAGAATTTGGTCTCCACAAATACCTGGGATGGAATTTAATGTGGCAAGATCTAGGAGTGGAGGAAAAGCTAAAAAAAAAGGATAAGAGGTTTGAAATATAAAAAAAAATGATAATAGTAATGAAATTTTGCAAGTACCTTTATTGCGGGATCGCGGGAATAATTCTAAAAAGGTTGATAAGTCATTTAGAGCATCACAAGATGGGTCAACCCTACCTGTGGGAGACTTTATAGTAGTATGATTTGCACCATCTTCTGACTGGGTACAAGCCAAATTATGCTCAACTTTTGTAGCTCTTGTTTGGCACCTTTCTTGAATTAATTGCTTAATAGAACCAAGATTATCAACTGGTACAATTGCGCTTGGAATCCTTCAACGATTCAAGCTTATATCATGTTTCTTGAAAATACCCTTAGACATGAGGGATAAAAGGAGTGCATGATCAGATTCGTTTGACCGAACTCACTTCAGCAGACTCCGGGATGTTTAAAGGATGAACAGATCGAACATTAGCTGATCTTGAAATAGGTGTCGTGACCTTTAACATCTTCGGAGCCGGTTGTTCTTGAGAATTCAAACAATCCTTTGAAGTGTCCTATTTTCAAAGACGTAAAGGAGCTTTAGCTACTATAGGAAGGGATTTCCCCTTCCCTGACCCGTTAACTTGAGCTTTGAATTTGAAATTCTCAGATACACTAGCTAACAAGGTTTTACAATTGTTGTCATCTAGGTGTGGGAGTACATCATATTTCCACCAGTTGTTATAACTATTGTCACATCGATTTTCAATACGAGCGCAATTATTAAGGACATGGAATCCTGCCCCACTGTTTATCCTAGTTAAACTCAACCACACCTGAAATAAAAAAATAGGCATCAAATGAAATTATTGATGGATGTGAGGGAGTACCCGATAATCTTTGATGAAATTCATAGTGCCTAGCAAAGCGATGTGGGTTATACATCTCAAGAATGCAAATTGGCCCACGACGATACATGACGTGTCCACCTCGCATACTTGTCATTAATTCAGAGGTTTCATCTGATCTTTACCCATCACCACGACGAGGTCCTCGGTTTCCAAAATACAGAACTGGTTGCCAGCAAAAATCACTGGAACTCAAACTTACACGCAGAAGATCTCGAAATCCTTTTGCTTCTTCCTCATAAAAAAGATAAACATTCAGTGTACCTTTGAATTGTCGAAGCAAAGGACGATCAAGCTCCTCATCAACCTCAGCATAAACTCTCCGAGGAAAATGCAATGCTGCCTAAGCATAAAAGTAATGACCTGGAAAAGCATAAGAAGCCATTCCGATGTTCTTCTGATCATAACGGGTGCGGCATGTCTCAGATAAACCTCTGTAAATGCTTGCAACAATAGGGGGAACTAAGCTATATGTGACTTCAGCAGCCATTCGGGAGGCAGTCTTGAAGATAGTAGGATGAATAACATCATCCGATAAAGGAAATACAAAGCAGCATAGCCATAAAGCTAAATAAGCTGCAATCTCCAAGTCTTCACGTGTTGTGACGTCGATCTAAAAGAATGAAGGGATCATCACCATTGACCTTTGTCTTCATAGGTTATATTTCTGCTTGAATAGGTCTCACCAATCTTTGTTTTGAAAAAAGTTTTCCATCCCTTCTAAAGCAATTTGCTATTGCTATTTTATATGCCTTGCTCTTTTTAGGATTCGGAACACGTGCACCATCCTTGAACCAAAAATCAAGCCAATCTGAATGACGGGGACGATTATCTCCTTTCTTCTTATTAATTAAGACAAAAGCCTTAAACAAGTGCAGACAAGTCATAGGAAGAACAATAGTATCAGAGTCTTTCAATTCAATCAAGCTTGGGATAACTTCTTCAAAATATTCACCATAGATTGAAAGACCAGTGACGTGTCGCATTTCCCAAAGTGAGATTCCAATTTCTCCTACTCCAGTAACAAATGTATTCGTTTGTGGACACCAAACTTCACAAAGGGCACGATATACACTGTTGGGTCGAGAGTAGTCAAAAGAAGCTGCATGCACAACATAAGCAAGTTCGTTGAAACCCTTATCTAACAACTTGTGGTAAATTCATTGAGACCACTCCCAAAACTCATTCAAATATTGAATATCTCCCCTTGGGTTCAATGAACATCCCCACCTCGCAGTCCTTTGGTTGATCAGATCAACAACAAGTGGCTTTGGGTTAAGATGATCTTTGGAATGATACGAAGGCACGCAAAGTGAGGGTAGTCGATCTGACTTAACCATGTCACTTTTGTACATGTTCTCTGGCAGAGGATATTCACTAATCAACGTCATATGAAGTTCAGGTTCATAGATTATTCTCGAGCGGCTGTAGGAACCAGTCATGGGCTCAAGAACTTTAAGTGATAATGTTGACAGCTCATTGGTTTTGTAGTTCTTCACCACAACAATTGGAAAACACAAAACTTTGTCTTTTAGAATTGGATCTTCTAACTCAGCAATCCACTCATCAGAAGGTAAGTTCTTTCTTTGACTTGAAATTTTGATATTTTTTTCCGATTTGGCTTTTTGAGATGAGGCCATCTGAAAAATAATAAAAATAATAATAAGAAAAAAATAGGGCAAATAATAATTTTATATATATATAAACCTTGATGCTATAAATAAAAGTGGAAATAAAATAATAATAATAATATTAGCAATACAACACCTTGGGCTGTTATAAAAATCAACTAGGGCTGTTACAGAAGTCACATTGGACTGTTACAGAAATCATCTAAGACTGTTACAGAAGTCACCTAGGGCTGTTACAGAAATCACCTAGGATTGTTACAAAAGTCACATTGGGCTGTTACAAAAGTCACCATAGGCTGTTACAGAAATCACGTAGAACTGTTACAAAAGTCACCTTGGACTGTTACAAAAGTCATCTTGGGCTGTTACAGAAATCACCTAGAGCTGTTACAAAAGTCATCTTAGGCTGTTACAGAAGTTACCTTGGCCTGTTACAGGAGTCACCTATGACTCTTACACAAGTCACCTTGGGCTGTTATAGAAATCACCTAGGGTTATTACAAAAATCACTTTGGGCTGTTATAAAAGTCACCTAGGGCTGTTACAGAAGTCACCTAGGGCTGTTACAAAAGTCACCTCGAGTTGTTACAGAAGTCACCAAAGGGATGTTACAAAAGTCACCTTGGGCTATTACAGAAGTCATTTTGGGCTGTTACAGAAGTCACTTTGGTCTATTATAGAAGTCACCTTGAACTGCTACAGACGTCACTTTGGACTGTTACAGAAGTCACCTAGTGCTGTTATAGAAGTCACATTTACAGAATTCACATAAAGTTGTTACAGAAGTCACCTAGTACTGTTACGGAAGTCATATTAGGCTATTACAGAAGTCACCTAGGATTATTATAGAAGTCACCTAGGATTGTTACAGAAGTCACTTAGGGCTGTTATGGAAAGTCACCTAAAATTGTCACAAAAGTCACCTAAGTCAACACAAAAATACTTAAGGTGGTCAAAAGAAAATTAATAATAATAAAAATAAAATTAAACTCTTGTAACAGAAGCCACTTATAATTAACACAAATGTTATAAACTGTTAGAGCGAATGTCATCTAAAATTCATTAGAAAAAGTTAATTAAAATTAAAATTAATACTCTTGGAATAAAGCTAACCCAAAGCAAAAAAAAAAAAAATCTTGCGGAACAAGATTTATTTATTTTAAAAAAAAGATCACCTAAAACCAAGTTAATAAGATAAAATTCGTAGGTCAAAAAGTTACCTAACACAAATTTTTGGATAAAGATATTCGAGACTAACTTTTTTTTAAAAAAAAAAAGGGTTATTATCCCAACATGAATTATTGTCAAGAAATCATGACTTCAAAAAATATATATATATATTAAGAAACAAGCTATGACTAAGAATAAAATAATATATATATATATATATATACATACACACACACACACACACATACATATACACACACAAATCAAACTTTTTATTAGATTGACTTGAACTGACCGACGTGAAAAATTGTCAAGATATATATATAAAAAAAAAGTAATGACAAATTAAAATTTTATGAATAGTCGTTAGGGAACAATGTGGTTCTGTTGTCATGAATGTCAAATTTACAAAGCAACAATTATAATTAAATAAATAAAAAAAAGAGGGTACAAACAATCTAAAACAAATCTGCCATAAAAAAAATATACACCACCAGTTCGTAAAAAAAAAAAAAGAAGAAGAACTAAAGAACTAGACAAAGAATTTGTGACCAAGAACTAGATAAAGAATTAAACAAGAAAAGTTTAAAAGAAAAAGGAAAGAACTAAAGTAGACAAAAAAGAATTAAATAATGAACAAAAACAAAAGAAAGGATTGACAACACATGTCACAAATCCAGGAAGCAAATTCATAAAGGAAGCAAAAATACCTTTGTCGTCCAGAATCCGATGACAAGAACCAAAACTTGATGCTGATACGGAATTACGAATAAAGCCTCTTGCCGATTGTAATGTCAACAAAACAAAATTGGAGTAGTCTACTAATTGTTATCATCAAATTTACGGTAGAACCATGTAACTTGATCAATTTGGTTAATCAACCAAGAAATAAAATAGTTAAAAAAATAAATAATAATAATAATAATAATAATAATAAATATATATATATATATATATATACATATATATACTATTTGAACAGTATATAATATTTAAAATTTTATCACCTAATCAAATTCTTATAACAAATTACCACTAACATTAACCTCTTTTAAATAAAAAAAAATTCTTTAATAGAAACAGCCAGCCAAAATAGTATATCAGTGTGGACAAGTTCACAAATCACACAACAAAAAAAATAATATTAAACAAATAAAATCCAGTGTCAAATTAAGGTAGTGATAAAAAATATTTTGAGTATTAAAAAAAAAAGGAAGCTTATGAATAGGTTGGACTCACTTAAAGTTGACTTTCATTATCTGTGTGTTCGAAACAAAGTTAAACAACTACTCTAAGAAATCAAAATCAAAATAAAAAAAAAAAAAATATATATATATATAGATAAAAAAGTAATGATAATAATATAAATTTACAGAATAGAGNTATATATATATATATATATATATATATATAGATAAAAAAGTAATGATAATAATATAAATTTACAGAATAGAGGACAAGAAAAAGAAGAAATACCTTAAACAAATTGGCCTTGACGTCAAAGTTGGTGGTCACAAAAGTGTGAGACCTTGTCAAACATATATAGGTACTAGTGTCTGTAAATAAAATTTTTTATCAATAGGTCATAAAAAAAAGGGGGAGTTTGTAAAACAATGAACTTATCAAGAAACATCACAAAAAAAAAAAAAAAAAAAATTGGTAAGAAAGCAAACATTGCAATCAATTACACGTCAAAGTAATAAAATTTGTCCATGCCAACAACGAAATATTAAAAAAAAAAAGAAAAAAGAAAATTGTACATCTCTAAGAGGCTGAGGTCTTGAAAGTCATTATCATCATTAACAAAATAAACAAAGT